GGATGAAGAAAAGGTGAGCGGAGGTCTTCTCAGGAAAGCCTGGGGATCTTAAGGGCTTTTGTAATGAGGATAAATGACATGAGACCAGGGAGGCAGAGTCCGGGACGGGTCCAGGTTAGTGCTGGAGAGCCGTGACACAGATCTCCTGAAGGCAGAGAAGGCAAACACAGCAACACACACTAGAGTATGAAGCAGTCAGAAGACCGAGTGAGGACCCTGCCTGAGGAGGAAGATGTAGAGGAGTGAGGAGGGCACAGGAAGGGCACTTTCACACTGGGTATGACTGCCACCCCTATAGATATGAAAGGTGTCTTTATGCAGAGCTCTGGGTTGGACGCAAACTTCCGTAGGTCCAGGAACTACTTACTCTCTGTATGTTCTTGCTGGGCACTCCAAGACACAAGAGCCTGTTCTTTATCCAGGCCCTTCTCACGATTGCTTGTCTAAGACATGAGCATTCTTGAAAGATGATGTAGACCTCAATTCTCAATTCCCTCCCTTCCCCCTCCTCCCCCCAACTCACACCAAGCTCATCCACTGTACAGGCAGTGAATCCTCTAGACCCAGTGTCCCTCTCCTTGAAGGTAACTCACAGGCTATTCAAGCATCCACTGTGGGCCCTTCATTGCCCCCTTGCGATTTGGACTGTGTCCACTGGCCCGTCACTGACCCGGGAACCCATGAGTCTAACTTGGTGCTGCTTACTGTGTCTGTCACGAGTGTTGACTACTTTGGCTCTGAACCAGGAAACTTAAGTTTTTTGCTTACATTCGTGAAATAGTAAGCGGTTAAGTGGTTAGTTTGCACATAGAGTAAAAATCCACATTCTACACAATAATTATGACTCATGTTTCTCAGACAGCAATGTTATACTGAAGATTATGATGGGAATTCCAGTGCCAATTTTGCGATATAACAAGATTTCAATCTATCACCTAGAACTATCATCTCAAGTACTGGCAAATAAGGCCACAGAATAAAAAGGCTTAATGAACAAGGTTAGCTTAGTGTAGAATGTACAACAGGAGCCCTATTTTGTGCATGTCAAAGTAGAGATACCAGGAGAGCTTCCTGTTGGGCCTGAAGTATTCAACAATTTCAACAGTTAAGTTGTACAGTTTAATAAGAATATTATTAAAGGAATATTTCTAATTGTAAGTTCATTAATAACCTAAGGGAAGTATTTTTCTATATCAATTATTAACATCTAGTAGTTATCAGATGGATTTAAGATACTTACAAGCCCTTGAGAAAAACATACCTGTGGGCGGTGGTGACTCACACCTTTAATGTCAGCACTCGGGAGGCAGAGGCAGGTGGATCTCTGAGTTCAAGGACAACCTGGTCTACAGAGCAAGACCCAGGACAGCCAGGGCTACACAGAGAAACCTTGTCTTGAAAAACCAAAAATCAAACAATCAAAAACCACACCTGCTATCATATACATTATTCCCCATGAGAGCTTTCTCAGAAACATAAGAATGTTGGTGTAACATTTATTTCTCCTTCATGTGTGTGAGTGTTTGCCCGAGCACATATCTGTGCACCATGTGTGTGTTGCCTATGGAAGCAGAAGAAGGCATCAGATCCCCTGGCTCTACCTACCGCAGGTGGGGCCTGTGACACTATTAAAGGCCATAGGGACGCCTGTTGTCTGGGCTGCCTCCTCAGGCCATATTGATGTCCAAGGGTCATGCCGCTGCCTGGGCAATGCTGAACTGAGTGACCTTGCATGGCCACTAGAGGTGGCCTGTGGTCTGAGCTGCCACCAGGGGGCCAGGTCTGGGTCTGTGGCCCACCTGCAGCCAGAGTTTGTGATGACGAACGTGGCCCATGTTACACCTGGCCTTGGTGGCCTGGGCACCGGAGAGCTAGTCCTGCTCCTCGCTGGCTGCCTCAGTGGGAGAGTGGCACTGCTCTCTCGGGAGAACTGGCCCGATTGGTGTGCACATGGGAGAGCTGGCTCCAACCCTCAAGGGTTCTGGGAGAACTGCCCTCTCCACACTAGCCTCATGGGTGCAGGAGTGCTGGCCCTGGCCCTTGCCTGAGGGGGCAGTCCCTGGAGAAGCCCATACTGACCAAGTCAACTACCACCCAGGCCCATATCCATAGTTGCTATAAACACTGGTTATAAGCCTTTTTATACACACAGATTAATTTCTCTTAACAAGTGTAAGATTGCTAGGTAAGACTGGATTTTGAAAGAAACTGGTGGTCTAGTTTTAAAATTAAAATTTAAAAATGCAATGTATACAACTAAAATGCTTTTTCTTCTTCTGATATTCATGTGTAATTACTTGCGCGCGCGCACACACACACACACATTCTCATATATACTCTCATACTCTCATACACACACACACACACACACACACACACACACACACACACACACACGAGACCTCAATTGAAATAAATCAGATCATCTGATTGTGATGTTGATCAAATTTTACTGCTCAGTGAGGCACTCTCTTTTCCTTTCTTTCTTTTTTTTCTGTTTTTTTTTTTTCTTTTTTTGAGACAGAATTTCTCTGTATAGGCCTAGTGTCTAGAACTCACTCTGTAGACCAGATTGGCCTTGAACTCACGGATATCTACCTGCCTCTGCCTCCCAAGTGCTGGGATTAAAGGCCTGTGCCACCACATCCAGCAGGAGTTTCTGTTTTGATAGTATGTATAAATGTTTGATAAGGCTTTTAATTTAAGACTGGGTGGTGGTGGCACCCACCTATGATCCCAGCACTTGGGAGGCAGAGGCAGGCAGATCTCAGTTCCAGGCAAGTTCCAGGACAGCCAGGGCTGTTACACAGGGAAACATGGAAACCCCGTCTTAAAAAAAATAAATCAAGTTTTATGTATATGGGTATTTTGTCTGCATGCATGTCTGTGTACCACATATGTGCTTGCTGCCCTCAGAGGCCAGAAGAGAGTGTTGGATGCTCTGGAACTGGTGTTACAGCAGGATGTGAGCTGTCATGTAGGTGCTGGGAATCAAACTGGGGTCATCTAGAAAAGCATCCAGAGCTCTTGAAAAAAATTTTTGAGCTATCTTTACCCCAATGTTTGATCAATCCTGCCTGGTGAAAAATTCCACATAAAAATGATGATTTGGTCAGAAGGAAAACACTAGGTTGTCCTTGAAAGCATAACACCCAAACTACATTTAACATTGCAGTGAATCCTAACAAAATACTAATTCTCCCAAATAAGGCACTAACCCTCAGTAAATATTCATGATGCTCTCTATCCAGAATCACAGCTTACTTTTGTAGCCTTAAGTCTCAAGATGTAGGTCTTATGGCATTTATCCTCAATAGACAATGTTGTCACTGAAATTTAAATGGATCTAGACCTGGTGCTTTGTAGATAGGGAAGTCATGGCTCCTGAAGCCATTGAACTGGCCACTGTTTGTGCTAAGGGAGCATACTGCATTGATGGGAGATGTCATTCTATAAATATGTTTCTCTTATTGGTTAATGAACAAAGCACTGTTGGCCAACAGGAAAGCAAGATAGGCGGGACTAGGAAACTAAAAGGTGAGAGGAAGTAGTAGGGAGGAGTCAAGATGGTGAACTGAGAGAGAAGAATGGCCAGTCCCTCTCTCTGGTAAGATGAGACCACGTGGAAGTACTTAGATTAATAGAAATGGGTTAATATTTAAGACAGAGCTAGCTGATAAGAAACTAGTAACTGGCCAACAGAATTATATCTAATACAGTGTCTCTGTGTGTTATTTGGGGCTGCTGCAGTGGTGGGACCAGACCGGCAGGCAGGAAAACCTACTTATAACACTGCATGGTACTTATTCTCAAGTTAAGGCTCTCCTTTCCTTTTGGGGGTTGGGAGGTTTAAATTTTGTTCTACCTTTTAGTGTGTGTGTGTGTGTGTGTGTGTGTGTGTGTGTGTGTGTCTAAGGCAAAAGAAAACTTGTAACAGCTAGTTCTCTCCCTCTACCATGTAGGGTCTCAGGGATCAAACTTAGGTCATTACACTTGGCAGTAGGCGCCTTTATCCACTGAGCCATTTCACTGGCTGGGAAGGAAGAGCCTTTCTCAAACTTGCTATAGTCAAGGATGACTGTGGTGGCTTGAATAGGAATAGCCCCATTTGTTTGATTCCTTGGCTCATAGGGAATGGCACTATTAGGAGGTGTGACCTTGTTGGAGTAGGTATGGCCTTGTTGGAAGAAGTGTGTCACTGTTGGGGCAGGCTTGGAGGTTTTATATGCTCAAGCTTACGCCCAGTCTGGTACCCAGTCTCCTTCTGCTGACTGTAGATCAGGATTTAGAACTCTCAGCTCCTTCTCCAGCACCATGTCGGTCTGCATGCCACCATGTCACCCTCCATATAATAGGCTAAATCTCTGAAACTGTAGGCCAGGCTTAATGAAATGTTTTCCTTTGTAAGAGTTGCTGTAGTCATGGTGTCTCTTCACAGCAATAGACGCCTAACTAAGACAATGACTTTGAATTCCTAATCTTCTTGCCTCCCCCACTGAGTTTGGGATTACAGGCATGTGTCACCACACCTACTTACTTGTGTTGCTAGAGACTGAACCCAGGACTTTGCAGATACTAAGCAGCCACTCTACCAGCCCAAAGTTTCTTTTGTTTCAGCTGTCAAGCTTGCTCCTGGTTTACTGGGAGCAAATCACATGTGAGACAATGCTATCCTTGTATAACTTGCTGACTGGGCACTATCTTACATTATAGAAACCTTGTAGGTCTCTAACCCAATACACATGCTTCCCCCGGCCATTTTCTTGGCAGCATTCACCATTTGGATTGGTCTTCCCTCCAAGACCACCAAACACATCTACCGAGTGCCCATTATGTGCCAATCTATTCTAAATGGTGGAGGCACCATGGGGAGCATGAAAGACAAGGTCTGGCCCACGATCACAGGCTTTGCCCTGATGGATGCTGGCTAAGCTGCTCATGGAGCCAAGATGATGTTAGCACTCTGGGTTTCCCAGCTCTGGCTACAGGAGGCTGCTTACCTGTTCTTCCTGCAGCGAATTGTGAAAACAAGAAAGAAAAGCACCAGAAGTAGTCCACAGCTGAGGAAAGTCCAAACAATACCCAAGAGGGCGGGAGACAGTGGAGAGACGTCTGTACCGCTGTGTTGTGAATCAGTCTGGAGGTAGCATTAAAAAAAAAAAAAAAGAAGAGGAATATGTTAAGAATGAAGGATCTGATGGATGTTGGTGGTGCACGCCTTTAATCCCAGCACTCGGGAGGTAGAGGCAGGAGGATCTCTCTAAGTCACAAGCCAGCCTGGTCTACCGAGCAAGTTTCAGGACAGCCAGGGCAACACAAAGAAACCCTGTTTCGAAAAACAAAACAAGAATGAAGGCTCTATAGACAGCACCAAAGATGGGCGGTGCTAATCCTACACTGGCAATCCCTCTCACTACCACACCCACCGCCATCCCCACGGAGCACTGATGCCCATGGCTGATCACTTACAATTGTCGTCTTGCAAAGATCATGAAGGGGTCTCCGATCCAGCTCCTGGCCAGGAAAACTATCACAAAATTCAGAGCAGTTGATTTCCGGCTCCATGTCACCGTATGCTCCCTCTACGGGCACCTACTCAGCCTTGGCTACTCCCAGGCAAGGATGCAGGAACAACTCAAGCGGTCCCTTCAGAGGCCCCATCTCAGAGCTGCCTCCAAACTCCAAATCCAGGGTGAAAGGGTATTCAAGTACAAGTGAAGGGTTGTTTCACTAGACTCCTGCGTCAGTCATGTTTGAACACCAGGCACTTTTCTGCTGGCCCCGAGTGGCCAGTGGGTACCACGTGATCAAGAATGGGCATCTCTGGTCTACAGCGTGTTGACAGCAGTTCACCACCAGAGGGCAGTCAGCGCTCCAAATGCTCCCAGGCCGGGCCCTGGAGGGAAAGCAGTAAGACTAGCTAACAAATGTGCACACAAAGGCTTCAAATATTTTTACTATCTTTATATACAGTTACATTCTTGTTGGGGTGCTGAGCTAGGTGAGCAGGAGCTGGAAGCCACCTACAAAGATAGATGAGGAAGAGGGTTTGGGGTGGGAGAGAGAGAAGGGGAGTGATATGGGATTGGACATGCCTGAGTTTTATTCCTACTTTTAAAAATCAACCCATCCTTTAAGAGAGAGAATAGATCTGGGAATGGAGGGAACTTAAGAGGGTGCCGTTTCTGCTTCGTGCTTTTGAAAGTGCCCAGCACAAGGGTCCTAGCAATAGTGGAGAGGGTGCCTGAACTGGCCATCCCCTATAATCAGATTGATGACCACCCTAGTTGTCATCACAGAGCCTTCATCCAGTAACAGATAGAAACAGTTGCAGAGATCCACAGCCAAGCACTGGACCTAACTCCCCAAGTCCTGTGGAAGAAAGGGAGGAGGGATAATATGATCAAAGGGGTCAAGACCAGGATGGGGAAACCCAGAGACAGTTGACCCAAGCTTGTGGGAGCTCACTGACTGGACTGACAGCTCAGGAACCTGCATAGGACCAAACTAGGTCCTCTGAATGTGTATCTTGGGCTGTCTGTGGGGCCACTGGCAGTGGGGCCAGGATTTATCCCTAGAGCAGGAACTGGCTTTTTGGAGCCCATTCCCTATGGAGGGATACCTTGATGCATCGGGGAGTTTGTTGACTTCCCATGGGAGGCATCACTCTCACTGAGGAGGGGATGGGGGCTTGGATTGGGGAAGGTGAGGGAAGTAGGAGGAGGGGAGGGGGAACTATAGTTGGTATGTAAAATGAAACAAACAAACAAACAAAAAACCCTTTTAAATAAATAAAAAATTAAAAAAGAAAAAGAAAGTGCCCAGCGCGGGGTTTTTGTGGAGGAAGTTTAGGACAAATATTGTTACTAATTCATAGACACTGAACACTAGGCCCATGATTAAGACAGAACAATGGTGACAGGTGCAGAATGTCATCTTTGGAGTCTGTGTACTTAGACATGGACAATATAGCACCAGGTGTCACCCGGTCACTGGCCTCTACTATGTTCCTGAATTATTTACCAGCTTCACGCAGAGCAATCATGGGAAAACTAAAATCCACTGTCTCCCACCAGCATTTGAATTCTTGTGTGGTCCAGGCAGATGACTGAATATAAAGTTAAGAAGAAAAAAAAAAAAAAGCATGGCTACTCATATCCTAATTTTGTTGGAATTCCAAATGAAAAGGCTTTTTTTTGTTTGTTTGTTTTTGTTTTTGTATTTTAGACAACCTCTATTGAGCAATGTCCCAAATCACAGGGCAGATTACACTATGATAGTCTGGAAGGAGATACGTTTTTATATTATCTTTTCCATCATATTGGTAAGCCAAAGACATATTTCTGGCTTGATTATTCTCTTGTCTGGACCGTTCTATGACTATAGGATGTTTAGCAGCATGCCTGGTACTCTCCTCCCAGATTCAACAACCACAAATGTTTCCAGTCATTCCCACTGTCCCCACATTGTGCCCAAATTGAGACTCCCTTGTAAAGACATGTGATGCATCACATCCTCGAGGGGACCCAGGGAAGTAAAGCTTCTAAGGGGAACTAGGTTTTGAGAAACCCTTCCTTGGGTCCATGAATATCCAGTTCAGGAACCTGATGTAGGACAATATTAGATTGCCATATGGGGCATGCTACAACCCCAAAGATGGTACTCGGTCATAGAAATTCACAAATGAACCAGTCACAAGTGCATCTCTCAGGGCTGACAAACCCCTAGGTCTAAGTTCTGAAGCAGTGGAGGGATCCATTGAACAGAGAACAGTAGTGTTGACTGACTGGGGAGAGGCATCAGACCACCAGAGCAGAGCCAGAACCCAAGGCTCAAGGGGTAAAGTCTGCCACACCCTTCCTAAAACAAGTTCTCCCCCACATCTCTGTACATAAAGTCCCTGTGAGGAAACCTTGTTAATGTTACAGCCAGCAGCAGACCAAAGGCTGTGTGCTAGCAGTTGATTTATTGCACAGAATTCTTTTCCAAAATAGTGTTACATGGGGCTTTCAACAGTCTTATATCCTATTTATTAACCTATTAATTTGATTTTTATTATAAATAATCCTATTATATCTGGTCATCGAAAAATTAGTCACATGAGCACCATCTTTTTGCAAGTTAATTTCACAGAACTTCTGCTAGTGCCCAGGAAGAATTAACCACTATGAGAGTTGCTTTGCTCCTGTAAACAACTTAAAAACCAGACAGAACTTTTTTTTTTTTTTCAGACATTGGGCAACAAATCATAGGGCTTTGGTCCCTTAGAGACACTCTGCTTGAAGGTGAATTCCTGGTTGGTGAACCAAGAGGGAGAGCCAGTCCAAACAGAAACTAGTTGTCCTGCTGAAATAAGGAAAAAAGGAAGGAAGGGAGGGAGGGAGGAAGGAAAAAGGCGGGAGCTAAGGGGTGTTGGGGCGGCTGGAATTTGAAGAAAGAGTAAAGGAGAAGAGAAAGCACAGAGAGGAAGACAGAGAGAGAGAAAGTGCTCAGGGAATCTGCAGGGAGGCTGAGGCTTTCAGGGGTCTCTGCACAAGTGAGAGAACACTACTTAAAGCTGAAGAAGTAACTATTTGGCAGGCAGTCCCTGGAGCTGCCATCACACAGTGTTCCCAGCAGCCGGAGAAGACACAAGAACATGCAGAACGTTGACTAGAATCTTCGGAAAGTCCCTGTGGCAGCTGAACTTAATTAACCCACGTCCAAAGGGTGCTCTGGGCCTGCCCCAGCAGTGCTTCAGAGGAGGGGGGGAGGAAGGAAGGAAGAGCGAGCCTTCAAAGGAACACAGCAACTCATAGAGTACTCAGCCATTTAAGGAATACAACCCAGTTCTTTTCCAGCAACACAACAGAATCTAACAGTTAACAAAATGAATTAGAAACGTTTATCATCCAGTAGCTGGAGACATGGCTCAGCTGTAAAATGATTCCCGACAAGCATAAGGGCATGGCAATCCCCAGCATTCATGTTTAAAAAAAAAAAAAAAAAAGGCATTGACAGCAATGTACACTTGTAATCACAGCCCTGGGGAGGCGGAGACAGGAAGATCCAGTCAGTGTAGCTGGATTAGTGAGCATAAAGTCAAGGAGAGGCCCTGTCTCAGAAAGTAAAGTGGATGACAATTGAAGGAGACAAGAGGCCAGAGCTACTGCGACCTCTGGCCTCTCCATGAGCATGTGCACATATATCTACATATATGTGTGCACCCCGCATACCCATATACACGACCGTATGGATACATATGCAACATCCAATAAGCATGCCAAGCATTTAAAGATTCAAAATAAACACAACTCACAAATATAAAAAATGTGAAATAGAGTTCGATGGAAACAACAGAAATGATGCAATGAGCGCGCACAGACCTTAAAATGACTGTCCTACAGAGCTACTAGAACAGAAAGCAAAACACAAGAAGGCCCAGGAGACAAAGATACGAACAAGAGCTGCATAGAACACCCTCAGATAAAAATAGAGTGTCTGGAACAAGATACCCTAGATTAAATGCTTTAGAAGGAAATAATGGTCAACTTAACAAGAGAAATTACCAAAGGTGAAATATAGAAGAAAAAAATGGTTAAATTTAAAAACAGCACATTGATATATGGAATGACAATTACTACTCCAACACACACGTAACTGGTATTCCAAGTGGAGAGGGCAGGAAACAGTTTGAAAGAAATAACGATCCTCATTAAAAATTTCAAATCAAGAAAATAGGATAACTAGGTAGAATATGCAATTGATGGCTTCGGGAGGATGAAGAGTTGTTTTTTTTTTTTTTTTTTTTTTTTAAGGTGTGGTCCCTGGTAGATGGACTTTGCTGTAGTAGATTGCCCCATGTCCATGTATAGCAGCACAAACTGGATTCAGTGGGTTATATCTGTATCTATATCTGTCTGTCTGTCTGTCATTTATCTCTCATCTACCTATCTGTTTCTCATCTATCTATATGTATGTACATAAAGTGTCCTATAAAGTTGGGAGTTGGGATCTGGTAGGAGCTGGGAGAAGGAACGAAGGTGAATGTTATCAGTATACTTTATATGCATATATGAAATTCTAAGAATTAATAAAAATATATTTAAAAAAAAGAAATGCCAGATGAAGGTCTTTTGTACCAAATTAAAATGATACCAGATGTAAATGTGGACCTAAGCAAAGAAATCCAAAAAGGTAACAAGGTAAATTTAATTGTGTGGCTGTTTCCTCCACATTAAAACATGAATGAAGAGGGAGACTTCCAGGCTCATAAAACTCACAGGAAACCTAGAAGAATGAGGGAGACTTCCAGGCTCATAAAACTCACAGGAAACCTAGAAGAATCAGGAGGCTCAAGAAACTTACAAGACTTACTGGAGGGAAAATGATTTAGAAGACCTGTCCCTCAGGTTGTATAAGCAGCAAACATTTGGTCGCCTGCTTGGACAGGAAGCTCCAGGATGTGGGTTTCATGGCTTGCCGTCCATACTGGGTTGGGCTTTGCTTTAGCTGCCCAAGTTGCTATGCTCAAAGTAACCCTTCACTCATGTTCTGTAAGACCTGATAGGCTCATTGGTTCATCACCCTGGGCTTAGATGGAAGGATTAACTTAATCAGTCATTGCCCTCCCTTTCTTGGGTGAACAGAAGCAGTCTCCCCAGGAAAAATATCACAACAATGGCAGGGGACAGTTTTTATCATTTTCA